ATCAGATGATATATACTGTATATATATATATATATATATATATATATATATATATATATATATATATATGTGTGTGTGTGGATCAACTAAACGTAACACATTGAAGGGGTACGGGTTTGATGGGTAGTGATGGGGGGAGGGGAGCGGAAAAAAGGGGTAAATATATTGAAAATCAATAGACAATATAGACAAGTCATTGTATAGACACACACACACCAGTGCTCATCGGAGATACCATTTAAAAAAATATATGCTAACTGTGCTCTAAATGTTGTTTATATACAACAGTATATAATATAATAATTATTTATTTTTTGTTGTTGTTATTTAGCGCAAAGATTATACACTTTACATAATAGTCATAATAATAATAATATCATAAAACTTGAATAAATTATAATATTAAAAAACATTTAGTTATTTAGTTTTAACGCATTATTTAGTGTAAGGTATTTTGAATTTATTTTTATAAATTATTAAAAAATATTTAATAATGTAAATAAATAACATATAATATATATATATATATAATGTTACAAAAATGGTATAAAATAATACAATAATAAATATTATTATTATTATTTGTCTAAATAATTATTAATAATTGTTTTGATTACTACCACAAAATTACTACTATAGTATCTAACAGCTAAAAACTTTTTTAATTTTTTTATGATAATTATTTATTTATTTAAATAAATATATATTTGAAAAATATTTACAATACTAAATACAGTATATATATATATATAAACTGTTTATATAATAACATTAAAGATTATATACAGTATAATAATAATAATAATTGTTGTTTTAAAACGATAAAAATATTTTATATAATTTATATAATAATAATAATATCCAGACATATTAATGTCTGCAAAATTTTGTTTATTTTCATTATTATTATTATTAAATAACATTTCATTTTGTTGGCTATATATTATTGCCCAAAATATTATATATATATAAATTTAGAGTATTTTCTCTAATTACATGAATATTATTTTTTTAAAAATAAATATTATATTATATTAGAGTTAATATATAGATTTTTATTTCATATATATAGGTATAAATTTATTTGATATAATATTTCCATATTTAGCTATAAATATAATAATAATAATAAAGAAACAATAGTCCTATTATTACATAATTTTTTCTCATTATATTTCAAATATTTACATTATATTTCTAATTATTATTGAGAAATAAAAAAAATATTAGTTAAATATCTATCATATTTCATATGTCTATTGCTATCAAATACCAGCTAAATATCTTATATATATATTGTATATATATTTGTCGATAAATTTTTTTTAGATGATATTTAATGATAATTATTATGAATCACCAAATTTTATWTATATATATAAGATATGACATATTGTTTTTTAATAATAATAATAATAATAATTAATTATTATTATCAATGTTATTCAAATCATACATCTATGTCATAGAGTACAGTATATTAGTAAAAAAAATAAAATCAATGATTATCTAAAAATAAATTATTGTTATATATATTATCCAATAAATATATTATAGATATATCTATTAAAAACTAATGGGTAATTCATTATATTGAAACCCAAATTTGTTACCAAATTTTACTTTTATTTTTACTTTTACTTTAGTATATATCAATCGATATATTTTCTATGCTATTGTTTATACTGTATTATATATCATATGTATATACTGTATATATTAAAATTAAATATTAATAATATATACAGTATATATCTAATGTATTTGACATTAACATAGACACACATAAACTTATATATATATAAAATATAGTAAATATAGTTTTTTTTATTTGTTATTTTAATTAATGTTTTATTAAATAAACTCTCAAACAAACAAATGTTGAAATTGTATAATAGATTAATAATTAAAAAAAATTATTTATATTAACATCAAAATCGATAGACAGTATATATATATATATATATGATATTTAATATTTCATTTACATGATATTACAACAAGTATTATATTATTATATATTGAAATAAAAAAAATTATTAAAAAACAAGTTATTAATATTACACTAAATTAATATTTAACACTTTAATACTCTTTACTTATAAAAATAATGTACTGAATAATTAGTTTTTTAAACTCATCAAAAAAAATGATAACTAAGCCAACCATTTAATATGTATTATAATTTTTTTTGGTAACTAATCTCATGTTATTTATATATATATATATAATTTATATATGTGTGTAAAACCCAACAACAAAAATATAATTGGCACCACCAACAACAACAACAAAAAAATTAAAATAAAATAAAAACTAATAGAATTTTTTAAAAAAATAATTGATAAAAAAATAAATCTAAAAATAGTTATATATATATATATATATATATATATATATATATACATACAGTATAGACACTAATATTTTTTATTTAATTTTTTATAAATTAATTTTGTTTTTATCAAATAATATAATTTAGATTTTGTTGTCTACTCTATATATATAATATTGTAATTATCATACATTGGTTGCACACGAATCGCATTTTTTTTTGTTTGTTTTAAAATATTTTTTTATTTGTTTATATATATATAAAAAAATATTTTATAAATTATAAATATCTTTATTATATTATGGGGACTGGTATGATATCGGAGATGGGGGGGGGGTAGTAGTCATATGTTTAAGCGCAGAATGATATATAATTTAATCTTTAGGGTGCAGTCTATATATACAGTATATATATATTAAAAAACACAAATCAAACAATTTATTTAAAACTTTATTTAATGATAATATATTTTTTTTGTTGGTTAATTAAAACAGTATTTTCCAATGTTTATAATATAATTTTTTTTAAAAAAAACTTTAATATACTGTAAATCAATGCAAGTTTTTTTTGAGTATAATTTTTTTTGATAAGATATGGAAAAATGTGTGTTATTTTGTTGTTGTTGTTGTTGATAATTTATAATATAAATATTTAATTAATTAATTAATTAAACATAAAAAAAAATTTTGTACTCTATACCCAAAGTTCAACTATTTACTATTTAATTTAATAAATTAATAATTGATAATTTTTTCAAAATTCAAAAAATAATAATAAATAAATAAAATACCCATCAATTGATAGCATAGTTAAACACACATACATTGATATTAAATAAAAATTATTATTATTAGTATAATATAATGAAAAAAAATAATTTAAAATATTTTTCAATAATAACAAACATAACACACAAATAATAATAATAAATTTGGAAAAAATATAATTAATTATATCATTAAATACAATATAAGTTAATAATGTCAACACACGTCAACAATATTATAACATTAATAATATTTTGTATATWTAGTATATAAATAAAAATAAAAAAAAAGTTTTAACCAACAAACAAACAAAAAAATCGCTACTAAATAATAAATCTCTATTTTAATATACAAAACAATTTTTTTACAGTAGTAGTAGTAGTAGTATTAGTGGTAATCAATGATTATATAAAAAACACATACAATTTTTTTTTATTTAAACTAAATGTTATACTACTATACTATGTATGTATGTATAATATAGTTGGGTTGAGAAAACTTTCCGGTAAACCTCTAGAATGTATGGTATGGTATGGTATGGTATGTGTGGGGGAAAGTTAGCATTTTTTTTTTTTGTAATCAGTGTCTCAAATCTTAATACATGTTTGTGTGTATATATACTTGTAAGTGAATAAATATAAAAAATAAGGCCATATTTAATACAATTTATATATATATATATATACAAAGTATATATGTCTTAACAAAATAAAATCACATTTTCAACAGTCGCTTATATATTAAATACTAAGTATTATATATATATATATATTATGTATATATTGAGTGATATATTTAATGTTTAGAGGCGACAGAAAAAAGTGTATCTAAAAATAAATTTTTATTTTTTAACCAACAAAAAAACGATAAAATAACATATATATATATACTTTACTGTAGTGTAAAATATTTTATTTTTTATTATTGAAAATAAATACTTAACAAGAAATCAATTTTTATTTTCTGTACACTAGAAAAAAATAAATGTTTTTTTTTGATATACAATTTTTTGATGATTGAAATGTGAAACATACATATCATACAAATTACCGAAAAAAAAATATTTTTTAAAGATTTCAATCAGACATTACTACTACTAATACTAGTAGTAGTAGTAGTAGTAGTAGTAATAGTGTCTATCTATTCAAGTGGTTATTATTGATTTAATAATTACATAATAATACATATCATATATTATATCATATATTAGTTAGTTGTGTGTTTATGAGTGATGACACTAAACAATATAAACTTGATAATTGAATTTCAATGTATTATATTTTATTTGATGAGTGTGTGTGTGTCGGTGTCTATGTGTATGTCTGTATATCTGTTTATCTGTCTGTCTATGTGTCTGTATCTATGGATGGTTGGATGTGTTGGCACACATACTCCAAAAGTATATTACATTAACTATAGATGCGATTGTGTGATATTATAGATATATAAGATAACTATATGTTTTAATTATTTATGTATGACATACACATAGACACACACACACACACACACTTCAAACTGAAACTCATATAATAAAATAATAGTAGAAAAAAACAAAAATTACTTTTGATTATCATATATATTGTTGTTGTTGTTCAACAACCAGTCATTAGCTGAGATAACTATCGCCAACAAAATCAATGACTTTTTATATATATATACCGTATATACAGACAGTCAGACACACAAACACAACAATATATAAATTAATTTACTTATTATCTGATATATAAACTATACCCACAAATAGTTAAACAATTGCTTTATTATTATTGTTATTATAAAGGAAGGGATGGGTAGAGGTATAAGACTATACATTAGTTTTGTTTTCACTATTGTTTGTTTGTTAATCAAATAATATATAATTTTATTTTTTTTAAATTAAAAAATATCCTAACCTTTCGCTTATAGTCGTCGTCATCGATGTCCAGATTATTTGGCGCAACAAATACCTGACGCATCAACGGTTCGTTACTTTTGGCCACTTCGCCGATACAGTTGCTATCAGTGGGGACGTCACGCCAACATAATACCCGAAGGTCATTATCGGCGGCTACCGTCGCAAATTGTTGTTCAGCCTGTATATGGGTAATGGCATCGAGAAACAGTATACCCGTAGCGTATTTGCCCGGTGCCGGTAAATCAATGCCGTGGCTGTCCCTATAAATATATTGATTGATTGATTGATATATAAGTTTTTTTTTGGTTAGAAATTCAAATACACACACATATAAACTATAAATTAATTATTGATGAGACAAACAAATATATATATATATATTTTTTATTGTATTAATAAAAAATATTTTTTTTTGTATAGAAAAAAGCACTTTATATATATTTTTTATTTTTTTCTATTATTATATTATATTATAGTGTATTTCATCAATTAATTATTTATGTATGATATAACTTAATAAAAATAAATAATAAACTATTTTTTGTTGCTATTATATTTTTTTAACAATATAATTTCTTATTTATTTATTATTTATTTTTGTATTTTAATATTTATTTTTGTGTTTTATTTTCTATTTTAAGTAAATTAAATATTTATTTAATTATTTATTACTATACTCTCTGTATTGTATATTAAATTAGCACATAAATAAATAATTTATATATATATATATATATATATATATTTATTTACAATTAATCATTTAATGTCATTAAATACTATATTAAATAAATAATAATAATAATAATAATTTTTATTGTAAATACTTAATACTAATGTACAGTACTGTATACACTATTGATATGTCTATATTTAAAAACAAATATATATTATATATATATATATGCCATCTCATAGTTATTATTAATTTAATAATAATAGTAATTATTAGTAATAATTAGGGGAGGGGGTGGAAATTTCCTATCATTTAATATATATATATATATATATATGTTTTACACAACAACAACAACAAGTATTTTTCTATATATTATATTATTATAATTGAAAAAAAATATTAATTTATTCAAAAACATGTATTATCCCCCCACCCCACCCCCTCTCAAAAAAATATTTTGATGACAATGCTTAATAATAATAATATCATAATCAAAAAAATACTTACTTAATTTTTTTAGCGTAAAACTGATGGGGAATGGATGCCAGTACGCCGGCACCGTCGCCGGTACTGTTATCACAACTACAGGCGCCCCTGTGCTCCATACGGGCGCTCAATGTTCTGGCATTGACCAGAAGCTATATACAGACACACATATAAAACAAATTCAATAATTAAAAAAAATATAATAATATTTAATATAAAATTTAAAAAATAGGAGAGAGTGGGAGCACTGGGATCATAGACACACACACACACACACACATAGCAACAGTAGTTAAATACTATTAATACAGACATCACACACCATAAGACAAATAATAATAATAATGTCCTCACTTTATGAGAAGCGATACCATCGATGGACACAATAAAGCCGACACCGCAGGCGGCCTTTTCCTCGCGCGGATCAAACAGTGATCGGATAGGAGTAGCGGTAGTAGTAGTAGGCATCGACATACCGGTGCCCGACGATCTACCACTACTACTACTGTTGTTAATGCTATTACTGGCCATTTAGTTAATGTAATTATTATTATTATTATTTGGATATATATATTATTTTTTTTCAACCAATGATGTATATGATGTATATGACTGGTTGAATCACTTAACTAACTAATCAATCAATTATAAAAAACACACCACAAAATTGATACACAATTATAATGAAAATGTTTTATTTTCTTCAAATGACTTGAATTGTTGGTTTGGGTTTGGGTTTTGGGTTTGTTTACACACACAACAGCACAGACACACACTTTTGTATTTTGTCAGACACTACTAATAGTAGAGAATATTATTATTATATGAGAAGCGTTACAATATAATGATGAATATTATTATATATATATATAAATTACTGTATATTATGTAATATATATATATATTATATATTATATACACTGTATATCTGCGGAGAATATATATTTATATATAGAGAGAGAGAATATACTGTATATATATATGTATATATACTTATATGTAGTATACTGTATATATATACAAGTGCTGCACAGGGATGTTGTTATTGTCGATGTGTTTGTTGTTGTCGTTGGTATATATATATGGTATATATATATATGTATGTGTTGTTGATTTGCTGGTAGAGTACAGTATTTTTAAAAAGATATCAAACACACGGCTTTTTGGGGGTTTTGTTATCTGAATATTCTCCCAGTGCTTATGCGTGATGTACAGTACAGTATGCACAATGTACTACAGCACACACACATACATACACACACAAAAATAAAGCTACCAGTGCTGCTGCTGGTAGTGTAGAATATTCATCCGACCAATAAAAATAACTCGGTTCTGGTGCATGCCTTTTTTCAATACATAGACATACACATACATACACACATACACACATACACACACACACACACACACACACACACACACACACACACACATACATACAGTATATAACACTTGATGAGAGAGAGAGAGAGAGAGAGAGAGAGAGAGAGCACTGGTATCCAATAGATCACATTAAAAGTAAATTTATGATATATCACTACTACTACTACTACTACTACTACTACTTAAAAAACACATATACATTGAACAAACTGTATGTGTGTGTGTGTTTTTTTTGTTGGTGACGATTGACTTTAATGATAACAAAAAACTATCAAAAACTTTTTTTTAAATAATGTTAGACTTCAGTATTATATTGGATATCAATTATACTGTATATATATATCATATTTAAAAAATTGTCACTTATTCAGGGACGTCGTGTAATATATATATGACTGGTCTCTCACTTATTAATAATATCTAACACTACCTTACCTTTCGGCTCATCACATGCCAGCCTAAGAGACGCCAAATAACTTTAATAATAATAATAATACTGTAATTAATAGATTATTTAATAGATTTTTTTAATATTACATAAATATTATTTTAATAACATTATATATATATATATATATCAATGTCTATCATATATACAATATGTATATATAAAATAAATGATGACAATATTGATACAGTATTTTTTCGTAATAGTAATATATTGTTAATACTGTACTAATAATTAATGAAACTATTTTGTAAATTCAATGATTGTGTTGAATCATATAATTACAAGTATTTTTTTTATTATACTACTACTAATAATAATAATAATAATAATAATAATAATAATATWATTATTATTATTATTATTATTATGACATTAATATTTTAATCAACATCAAAAAAAATAAACTATTTTATATACAGTATTTATTTATTAGTTATTAACATTTGAACATTGAATATTTGCCAATAATTCCCCCCCCCCCAAATAATTTATTTATCAACACGTGGACCAAATAGTATAGTTTTTTTTTTAATATTATTAGTATTATTATTATTAAATATATTTATTTAAGTAATTAATTTTTAATTCAAACAAAATAAAATTGTCAAGTACATGTAGAAAAAAAACATTGTAAACTAGTTTTTATTTATAATATATATATATATAGTAAAAGTTTAATTATTACAAAAATAATAATTATTATTATTATTATATTTTATAGTAAATATTTATTCATTAACAAATATTTTAATAATTAATTAATAATAATAATAATAAAATTAGTCAAATATATTATTATTAATTTTATTTCAAAACCATTTATGATGTCAGTTATGATGACGTTTTGAACTCATATTTATTTATTTTTTCAATGATAAAGAAAAAATTTATTTAAGTTATTAATTAAATCTATTATTTTTGTCAAAATATAAAATAAAAATATAATAAAATTATCTAGTTACTATGAGTTTATGGAAATATATATATATACAGTAATTTTTATAAACAATTTCATCATTAATACAGTATTAATACAGTATAATAATAATAATAATGGTCAACAAAATAATAATTATTATTATTATCACCAAAAATATTTATTAGTAAAATTATTTTTATATCAAAACTTTTCAAAAATTTTATCATTCATTCAAGTTATCATAAGACCCATGAATGAGGACAACAACAACAAAATAAATAAAATTTTTTGGTTTTATTTGATTGATTTTTTCAATAATAACAAGAAAAACAAATTATTATTTAACTTATAAATTAAAATAAAACTTAAATAAAAATAATAATGTTTATAATACATGCAATATTATATAATATATATATACTGTATTATAGAGTATATTAATATAATAAACTATTCAAACATTAATAATAATTAGTTTTTAATGAAACATTAATTTTAGTTTTTTTTATAACGAAAATAATTGTCAAAAAAATTATTTTTTTGTTTCTATTTTTAATATTAATTATAACAGATATATAAGGATAATAATAATAATATACTGTATCTAATTTAAATACAAATTATTTTTGCGTTAAACAATAAAAAAAATTAATATAATTTATTTTTTTTATTTCTATTTAAATGTCATTTATTTTGTTGTAATTATTTTTATTATTTAGTGTGTATTTATATATTTGCTTTTAACCAAAATTAAATGTACAGGTATAATTTTTAATATCTACAATAATTTATAATATTTAATGTATTATACAGTATATTGTTTTGCACGCTCATCATTATCAATAAAATATACTATAAATTATAATTAAAATAATCAATTTAAAACAATTTCAATAATAATATTTATTTATTTTTAAAAATTTAATTTAACGATTGATTTTGATGTTAATTCAAAAAAAAATTTATTATCAATATTTCATTTTACTTTATATTTTATTCATATATATATAATAGATATATATATATATATAACTATTCATTCCTAATATATTCCTTATATATATATATAATTTTTTTAATTAAATTTATAATTATTATTAATATCAATATACATAACACATGTACATTATACATAAATTATATTGTATTATTATTTTGTTTGTTTGTTTGTTATAATAATCGACAATTAATTAATACAATTATATAATAATAATAATAATAATGTTTTACGTTTTTTTTCAAATAATTATATTTAAATTATGCATTTATTTATGTATTTATTTAATTAATTATAAATGTTTTTTTTTCAAATTGTTTACGACATGTTTGTGTGTGGAATGTATTTAATTATTATTTAATTTGTTTGTTTTAAAATTTTATTTTATTTTCATTTATTAATTATTATAATAATATTTTCTATCAATATTTATTTATATATCATTTTTTTAAATGTCTCTCTCTTTCTCTCTCTCTATCATAGAATAAAATTTTTATTTATTTTTTAATTATTATTATTATATATATATGTATTTTATAACGGAATAGTAGTTTATTTATGTGTTTGTGTGATAAACATATATTTTTTTTAATTATTTATTTATATTAATTTTAATATTATATTTTTTATAATAATAATAATGTATTTAATAACAAATTAATTTTCTTTATGATCCATATCTTTATCTCTCTCTATCTCTAGTTTTTTTTAAACAAAATAATTTCAATGTTTTTTTATTATTTATTTTTAAAGGATAGCCCTATATAATGATTGATATATTATTTTGTTGTTTATGTTTTTTTATAGATATATATATAAACATTATTGGATTCAAATAATAATACTAATTATAATATTTTTTTAAGGCAATAAAATACATGATAATAATAATAATAACAGAAACATTTTGGTTTTTTATAACAAAATTAATTAATTAATTAGACCACAGATTTTGATAGTAATAATAATGTTAATAATAATTAATAATTCAATGATAATAATAATAATAATAAAAACGTCAACAAAGAGAGTAAATTTGTGTAAAACAATTGGAGACCAAAAAAAATAATAATAATAAATATATTTAACAAAATTGTTCAAAAAAAAAATCTTTTTTTCTCTCTAAAAAATATAGAAATTTTATAATAATAAATATATTTATATATATATATATAAATATAACACTAGATTTAAATTTGGCGTAAATATTACATAATAATAATTATTATTATTACTATAATAACATAACTCTTCAATTAGTTTAATTAACAAAAAATGAAATAATTGTTTGAAATTCATAGAAAAATTTTAAAAATTATAAAAAAAACAATTTATCTAACACTGTGTGTGTGTGTGTGTGTGTTTGTGCACTGATATGCAAACATTTCAATACAGGGTAAGGTAGACACACAGGTAGGCCATCCCTTTTTTTACATACAAATAATAATTTCAATTGTTTTGTCGTTATAAATAAAATCATATCCACAACAAAAAAATTAATAATACATTATATTAACCGATATTTTTTTTATATATACCACACACACACACAATAATATACACAACAAAAATAATTATTATGTAATATACTGTATATAAATATATTTTTTCACAAATAAAAAGTCTTACAATTAATAATAATAATAATAAAAACAATTTGATATCTCTCGAGTGGTTGTGTGTTATATTAGCTAATAATTAATTATTTAGTTATATATATATATATATATAAATATAGAGAATTGAAATAAAAATACTAATAATAATTTAGATTTAGATTTAAATTATTTTGTTTAACAAATTTTTTTAAATTAAAAAAAACGACAATATCTAATAATAATAATAATAATAAGAGCCTAGAGTGCACCAAATGGATCCGATGATTGTGTATTGGCTGTAAATCCCGGATTGACTGGCCGTTGGGCTGAACTATTGGCAGCCGACGGCAATACTTGTACAGCGCCGGGCATTGCAGAGCCTACTACTGGCTGAGCCATACCGGTAACCATTGCGGGCCTCATCTGAAAGTTRTATAAAAAATTTCAACTATAATGACCATAAAGTCAAAGGGTAAAGTCAGGAAACTTACGGGAACTCCGTACGCCATAGAATTGGGCGCTACAGCAGCAGTAGCCATCATCGGCTGCATACTGGCCGGCCATTGGCCGCCGCCGCCGCCTACGTTCGACTGCATCATACCGGGCTGTCCGACCATCATTGGCTGCTGGCCGCCGGCGCCRACATTCCAGACCATTGGCTGCTGCTGCTGTTGTTGGGCGCCGGGATTCCATGCCATACCAGGCTGTTGGCCGCCAACTCCCGGCTGTTGTTGTACGGGTGCTCCCGTTTTAACTGTATTTTTAGGACTGGAAAATTGACCAAATCTTCAATAGAAAAGTATGATATGGTTTAAGGCATTCAAATTTAATAAAACTAAAATCAAAACTGTTTTGGGTAATATAAAAATTATTAATTTTTTTTTTGACAAACTTTTTGAACGATCCATTGGTTCCCTTAATGTCCAAATTGGAGGCCAACGATGCCAGACTCGAGTCCAGGTCACCCTTGAATAGCGATTGATTGGCGGCCGCAGCGGCGGCAACACTGGCCGCTTGCGATTGTTGTTGTTGTTGCGATGCTGTGTACTGTTGGCTGGCGAGGACCGCACCGTTTTTGTTGGCCATTGACTGCGGTTGTAATACATCGCCGAACGCATCGAAACCTAATTAAATAATTATATATAAAAAACAAATGAAACATTCGTTAACTATATATATACAGTATATTAAACCAAACATTTTGTTATTTGGTTTTTAATTGCGATTAATATTTAAGTAGTTAGTAGTAGTAGTGGTTAAGCGATTGAATAATAAAAATTGAAAACCAAAAAAAAATGTGAAAAATAAATAATAATATCAACAATATGTGTGCAACAAATCAATCAATGAATCAATCAGTCAGTCAAATGAATRGTATAAAAAAMWCAACAAAAAAAAACAAATCAACAAAAAAATATTTATATAATATGTGGAAACCCTCAGTGATGGACAACAAACAAAAAATGAATGTATGAATGAATGACCTGTAACGGCACCGGAAGCTATTGCAGCTCCCGGAGGTACCATTCCCGGCATCATTACATAGCCTGCCGGCGGAACAGTTCCCGGCGGAAAATACATTACACCACCTCCAGCAGCAGCACCACCACCGGGTGGTATAGCATTAGCAGCTATAGCCTGTTGCTGGCCAACCGGTTTCGGCGGTTTGCTCATTGTCGAGCGCATCGCAAAGTCCAGATCTTCGAAAGCCGACGGCTTTTTGGCCGGTTTGGTGGCCGCCGCCGCAGCAGCAGCCGGCATCTGTGATGACATAGCTAGTTGTTGCTGATATATCAGCTGCTGCTGAATGAGCCATTGTTGTTGTTGTTGTTGTTGTTGATTGGCATCAAATCCAGTAAATTGCATGGCGGCGGCCGTGGCACCCATAGCGGCGGTCATATCGTTACCAAAATCCGATTGGTCACTGAATAGATTTTCATTGCTCGAAGCCGCCGGAGGTGGTGGTCTAGTGGGAGGATGGGCTGCATCGTGTGGTGGCGGCGGTCTTGCGGGCGACGCTTTGTGAGTCGTATCGAAACTACTACTACTACTGTTGTCGCCAAATGCGGCCACAAAAGCGTTCGAAGCTTCAAACGATTGGCCACTAAACGGACTGCTCTCGCCGGAAGGCGGCGGCGCCGATATGGCCGCTGACGGCGGCAACGGACTGGTGCCGCGCGATGCGTTCTCTTCGATGCCGCTGTCGTCGCCGAAACCAGTGTCGGGCGGAACCGGCAGTATTGGTGTCGTACCGGCGCCACGTATTTCGTGTGTAGGCGACGGTGACGATGATTTCGAGTCGTCGGCCGCTGCTGTTCCGGGCACTGGCAGCTTACTGGTTGCTGATTGATGCCGATTGATTGGTCATACAATTTAGTGTAGTAGGATAGAGTGGTTTTCACATAGTGGAGTTCAGGGGACAGGGAGTAKGGGTTAGTTAGATATTGAAGGGRTGGAAAAAGTAATTAAATGAGTTAAAGTGTAATTTTAAATATAGTGTTACAAATATATGTAGGACAAACATCAATTAATTTAGTATGACACTTACCCTCATCTATACACACCCACACACACGTGGTGTTCCCCAGTTAAAGGAAAGCATGAATAGTGGAAACAGAGAGATAGATAGATAGATAAAAAAATAGATAATAATAGATAAAAGAGTTATTTGGTTAGTTCAGAGTCAATCAGCGGACTGTATGGACAACAACAACAACAACAATACTGAGGGTTTCCCTTAAAAAAAATATATACATATTTTTTGGTCCAATCATTCAATGAAAATCAATTATATATTAAAAAAAAACAAATCAATTTGTGGTCAAAAAAAACAAAACAAAATTTATCATCAAATTAGTGATAATAACAACAACAACAATAATACCAATTTGTTTACTGATAAATAAAAGATGATTAACAACATGAATCGGGTAAKGAAATAGCTGGACATACCTGCGTGCGATGTTGTATTTGATTTGCCAAAAGCGGCCGCAAAACCGTCCTCCGAGGCAAACATATTGCTACCGTTGGTCGTCGGGGCCGTAGTTACCGTAGGTATCGGTCCGAACGGTGTCTGCTGTTGCTGCTGCTGATGCATCATTGGAACCATTGTCGGGCCGCCGCCGCCGCCGCCGGTCATGAAAGACATTTGTTGATGATGTGGTGCAGCGTTCAGTATATCGGCAAACGGATTGGCCGACGCTCCCGATAGTCCTAACAGGTCATCGCTGGCTTTGCCTGAATTGTTTAGGTTATGGAAACCATTTTTTAGTATTAATATTACCAAAACTATTGTTATTATTATTAAAACTATTACTACTACTAATAAACGAGTTTTGGGTGTCATTCAAAAAATCTAATAAGTGCTGACTTTTGGCCGCCGCCGACGCCCCCGTCGTCATCGGGTCATTACTGGTCGGCGATGTTTCAGYTGTCGGTGACATCGATAGAAATGGATTGTAGGTTCCTTTGGATCCGCTATCCTTTTCTTGTAGATGTTTCTCCTGTTTTTCGTTTTTTTTGGTTAAATTGATTTTTTTGAAAACAACAAATATATAAAAAAAAGATAAAATTAAATCCACAAACAAAACATTTTTTTTAAGTCACAAAAATTATCAATTAGTTAGTACACACACAGAGATAGAGAGAGAGAGAGCATAGCGTTTTGATTATAGACAGATAATAATAATAATAATWATTAGACATTTATTTAGCCAAACATTTATTGTTTAGGATAGGAAAGGGATGCAACAAAAAAAAATCAAGTTGTTTAGTGGTTATTATTGTTTTAGTTTTTTTTTAGGAAAATAATTATATATATAAAACAACATTTTCAATAACATAATATGCAATTAATTAATTAATAGGTTAATCAGTGGAAGGAAGTCATACATTAAACATAGAGAGAGAGAGGATATGGTTAGTATTATACTACTATAGCACAGTACTACTACTACTACTAACCACTTCCAGCCAATTATCTTGTGTCCAAACAAAAGGTGCGTCAATTTCATGGCAACTAGTGATCTACCGGTACAGACACACAYACACACACATATATTGACACACACACAYACACAGGCATGTATGGCGGTGGTGGTGGTGGTGGTGGTGGGGATGAAAAAAGGGATAGACGATAGAGAGTGTCAATCATAACAATGAAAAAAAACATGCAATAAATATCAATATAAAAACCAATAGATTAATAATAATGTAAACATAAGCAAATGAGTAAATTAAAAATAAAATAAAATAATAATAAAAAACAAACATATAATATACATAACCGTCAGCTATTAACATATACGGTAATAACAATAACATGCATATCAATAGTGATGCGTGCATTGAGATTATTATTATTTTTTTAAAAAAGCATTACTAACAAACAGGTGCACAAACACTTCAACATACAGTATACATATCTACCGGGTATTACCGGTAATGATTTGTTGTTGTTGTTGTATATACACTATACTACTGTATAATCAAAATTATGATTTTAAACAACAAYAACAACAACAAAACAAATATATATATCAAATATAATGATAATAAATTAAGTGATAATAATTGCAATCACTTTTGCAATTGTGTCCATACTTTGAGTTTATTAAGCATACGTTCCTCTTCTTCGAGCGCCTTCTTCAATGAATTCTCATCTTTGGGTCCACTGTTGTTGAACGAGTCAACCCCTCCCGCAGCCGAGGAGGCCATCGGCTGCTGCTGTACTACCGATCCATTTGTGGCCGCCGATGACGTTACCGATGATGATGTGCTGTTTCACAAGAGTATCACACAAAAAAAATTACGAAAAAAAACAATTAATATTTTTTAATTATAAAAATTTTTTGTTGTTATCATTTTATACAATCGTATATTATATATATAATAGTTTTCAATAATAATAGGTTAAACATGTTTTTTATATATGATATGATATATCTGGGTAATTGTGTCATTAATTTTGTATTTATTTATTTTTTATTTGTTTGATTGTTTGTTTCAATCTCTCTCTCTCTCCAAACAAATGTCATTATTAATTAATCAGTGAAAAAAACAATTATCAAATAAAAAAAATATTTTCTAATCAATATTAAATAACATATGCCTTTATGTTACCCCTATATCCCCTCCAAAATTCAATCCCTCCCCCCATATACTGACATCACTAGCACTGGGATATAACACATTAACTCTCTCTCTCTCTCTCTCTCTCTCTCTCTCTAAATGATAAACATAGCGATAGTTTATATAACAAAAATCTATGTATAAAAAATAATTATTATATAAATAAATGAATCACACCTTCAAACAAACAAAATATAACACATATATTATATAACACACACACATTCACTAACTAACAAGTTATCAGTAAATTATTATTATTATTATTAAAACAAAAATGTCATAAATATTTCAACAACAAAAAAACACACATTGAATCAAATATTTTTATATAATATATATATATATTTTATAAAAATTTCGACATAAAACATGTGTTAATCAACAACATTGAGAAATATATAGAGAGAAAAAAAAACCAAATATTAAATACTTCAACAAAAATAAAACTTAATAATTAATAATTATATTAAAAAAAATTGACGGAAAAAAATTGTCGAAATAAAATACAATATAAAAAACAACTAATTTCGACACACATATCATATATATATATATATAAATGTCATCAATATATATAAAAAACACTAACTTTGTTGTTGATGATGACTGTCCTCCTCCGCCTCCACCGGCGCCTCCTTTTTTGCCCTCCAATTGTGCTAAATGTTGTTCCAGTGCGTCCAACAGGGAACTGGGAGCCTTAGTGAGATCGGGTATCTCTCCCTTATCGATACCGACATTTTCGGCTACACGCAAAAATTCCGATACCTTATCCATACGTATCAGAAACTTTTTATATATGTCCAGTGCCTCCCGGGCCTGCTTTTTATTCATATCAAAATATTTTTCTAAGTGATAGATAGAGAAAAAAATAATATTAAAAAAAATCAATTAATATTTTTTTTTGCTGTCATATAAATTCAATCAATAATAACAATTGATATTTTTTTRTTGATAAGGATATATGAGTACAATAAAACAAAAAATAAATAAATAAAAATAAAATAACAATTAATTTTGTTGTTATTGTTGGAAATATAAGACATTGGATGGATTAGTTAGGTTATGTGATAGGTTAGTAACAGTTAGTGAGTGAGTGAGTGGGTGAGTAAAAAAAGAGAGAGAGAGAGAGAGAGAGAGAGAGAGAGAGAGAGAGATAGGCTAATGGTATCAAATATATAACACATAATAAACAGCACGTAATTATGAGGGGTGTCGGGGAATAGAGAGAGAGGGATGTAGGGAATGGTAGATATATATATATATAWAAAAAAAGATATAACTAACCCAAACAATTAATAATGCCGTCATTATAGCAGGCAAACAATCGGATCAGATCTCTGAACAATAACATAAAGGCAGCATTGATAACACCGTTGGTCAGATCGTTGGCCGAACAGTCAAACTCCAGTAGGGAATCCACTTGCGATTGTAGTGTCGGTATTGTTTTGATCAGCTTATCGGTGCTCATCGATCTMAGSGAWCCGTCCTCTTTGCTAAAACATGACACATAGGAACCACCATTACTTATACTAATTATCGGTATACATGTATGATATTCAACAAATTTTTAAGGTAATTAAAAAATTAAAAATAAATAAAATAATTGTCATTCAAATTTATAAAAAAAWAATAAATAATTRATTTCAATTGAAACATTTAGTTTTTTTKGGGGGGGACGGGGAGGGGAGAAAATATTTAGGTAGACGGATAACCTGGAAGATTATACAATACAATCAATAGTTGTCTTTTWWWAAAAAAATAAAACACTGTAATTATATAAGACATATTTTACCGTAAAATGACAATTAAAACTAATATACTGTACAGTACATACCGGTAATGGTTACAAACATATATATATATATACATACAAAAAAAAGATAATTAATGGTCAACACACACACACACACACACACACACACACACACACACACACACACACACACAGACACACACATTGATATCAATAGTTAACACACACACACACACACACACACACACACACACACACACACACACACACACACACACACACACACACACACAGACACACACATTGATATCAATGGTTAACACATACACACACACACACACACAAAGACATCAGTGGTTAACACATACATACAGACAGATATAATCATCAAAAAAAACATAATTAGAGGAACAGTTAGACACAAAATCAAAAATTATCGGTAATTATTAATAATTATTATTTTTATACCCTCTCTTAATTTTGGTGAAATCAAACGCAACCGTACGATAGGACATGGCTTTTTCGTTCAGATATTTGGCGTATCGACGGATGAATGTCGACATTTCGTARCCTTTGACCGCAGTTTTGTCCAAAAAGTTGGACAACTGAAACGTACAGTTACTGGAGGCCAGATATTGGGTGAATCGTTCGTTACCGTAACACATCAAATGATGGACAGTTACCAGCGCTTTGTAGACGACTACCCACGAGGAATGATTGGTCCGTTCGATCAATAGGTTGGCCAACTGCGGTATCGAGACGTTCGGCTCGTGCGTACATTGCAACAGATAGTCCAAGTGTTTCTTCTTCGGGCCGCTAACTTCTTCGGTAGTCGCCTTGCATACGACACGGGCCAGKCCTTGGCCGGCCAGTGCATAGCGGGCAGCGTTCAGCCGATCGTTCAATGTTTGTCCAGAGTGTCCGGCCATTGCCATGATTGCGATGATGACGTCCGATGCCGGGAAACGGTAGGTATTTTCTAAAGTGATCCAACAAATGGTTTTTTGATCCAAACAATTGGGTATCACTTCAGGTGGTCACCACTTCCTCCTCCTCCTCCTACTCCTCAACAGCTGACCCAACAAATGGTATGTATTTAATGATGTGTTGATTTGAATCAATGTATTTGGAGGACAGGTATGTCTATATAGATACGCGTCAATTGGTTGGTCAGTTGGTCGACACACACACACAAACTCACCGTCGGTATCACCGAAACACTTACACCACACAAGTTGTTGGTGTTGTTGTTGTCGTTGTTGATGATGAAGATAATGATGTGAAGAACTTATGGTAATGTTGTAGTCCTCCTCATCCGACACATCAGTAATAAAATAATAAATTATTTTTTATTTATTTTTTGAATAACAAATAACAACAATAAGTAATAAACAAATAATTCAATTATTATTATATATAGTATTTAATAAAAACATATTTCAATACAATATTATTATTATTATTATTATGTGTTTTGAGACTGGATTTAATTAATTGAATGATTAGTTAATAATTTAAATGATAAATAAATAGTTAAATTAATTAATAAAATTTTATTTTTTTATTATTAGTAGTATTACTAGTGGTTTCAAACACACAGTTATTATTATAATAATATCATTACTAATTGAAACCTTTTGAAAAAAATCAATGCATCAGATGTTATAAGTTATATGTTATATACACAGTGTATGTTATGCTATGTCTACTAAAGTATTATTGCCTTATAATCATTAAAGCTATGGCTGTATAATAGTATTGGAAAAATCTATAGTCACTGTTATAATACATATATACACACACACTGTATGTATATATATATATGTTATCAACCATTGAAAGTCCAATACTATATGTGTTTAGAGATAGAGATAGAAAATAATATAATAATATTGAATGAAAAAAAAAATTGCATTCATTTTCAATACATATTTTCTAATACACACTGTATTACAGTAGTAGGGGATAGACTAGAGTCATACACTAGAGTTTAGTTATATTGGAAAAAACCGGAAAACTATTTATTTATTATTATATTGGAAACCAAGTTATTCAACAACAAAAAAACTTAGTTTTTTTTATAAAAATAAAATATAATTTTTTTTCTAAATACAATTTTTTTTTCGGTGGAAAAACATATTAATAATAATTAAAATTTATTTTTTTTCTAAAAAAAACTAATATAAACCGAACCCACGGTTTAGGGTTTTTATTAATGGTCAGTCACTAATCCTATCCCGTCTAGTATAGTGTCTAACATTACTACCACTACACAGTAAAGGCTATTAATTATTACTCAATAAAGTAAATGTTTTTTTTTAAATATTAAATTTATTTTTTCAATTTTTAGTTTTTTTCCAACAAAAAAAACTAAAAAATTTTTAGCTTCAAGTTTTATATGCGGAAAAATGGCGTCAAATTCACAGTTAAATTATTTAAAAACATATTTCAATAGTTAGTGATTTTATTATTAAAAAAAAAAAAAAAAACTAAAATAAACTAATAGTATTGTATTTAATCAATACTTAATTTTAATAATTAATTAATTAATTAAAACTTTAAAAATTTATAAACAGAGAAACATTATTTTTACAATTATTACAAGTTTTTTAAATAAAAAATAAATGTAATTATAGCGAGTGTTTAGGTGTATATAAATAAACTATAAATTATTATTTTTTTTGATATTTAATAATTAGTTTATTAATAATTGAATTTTTTTTGTTCACATCTAGTAATGGAAATTCAATGGAAATTTACTACAAAACTTATCATACAATTGGTATTATAATTATTAATAACTAATAGATTTTTATTTTTAAAATAAAAATTGTTGACTAAATCTATAGAAAATTTATGGAAAAAGTTCAACAAAAAAAACTATTGAATTATTAAAGCAATCATTACGTAAGCAAAAACAACTATAAATCAATACAATAGAGTGATAATAATAATAATAATAAATAGGCACATAATTTCGGTACATAGTTAATGGCCTATTTTACTTAATATCTAAACCATATATTAACATTTTCTATATATAAAAACGGTCCAAATTAGCGGTACATAAAATTATTACCTTTTTTTTATATAGATATATATTGTTTGAGTGAGTGATCGATAGCGCGCACACAACATAAATAACGTTCAAATAGTTTATTATTATTTTTTTTTTGAATACACTGTGTATTTGAAGTGCAAATAAAAACCGTTGAAAACAATTGAGTAAAAAATATAAAACGAGACGTTATTACTGTACAAACATTTTTTTTAACAGACAAAACAATAAACTAATACTAAATAATCAAAACGTAAAACACATTCACATTAATAGTCAAACAAACAGTCGATTCAATCAATCGATTCATTCAATTGTCTTATTGTTTGTGTTTTTTTCAATTCATTTGATTATTACCACCAAAAACAACAACAAACAACTCGTGAGTTAAACAACTCTTTGATATTGTCTTCAAGCAGTACTTCRAACATATAATTGTCTGATTGAATCCCATTTCATCCATTAGGTTGTGAATCAATCCATTACTATCACCAGAGAAGCGATGCCCAACATTAAGCTCCAGAGTTCCGACGGCGAAGTTTTTGATGTGGACGTCGAGATCGCCAAGTTATCGGTTACCATCAAAACAATGCTCGAAGATCTGGGTATGGACGATGAAGATGAGGAAGTGGTACCGTTGCCCAATGTCAATTCAACTATACTGAAAAAGGTGATCCAATGGGCAACCTATCACAAAGATGATCCGCCGTCGCCCGATGATGACGAAAACAAAGAGAAACGTACCGATGATATATCGTCGTGGGATGCCGACTTCTTGAAAGTTGACCAGGGTACACTGTTTGAGCTGATCCTGGCGGCCAACTATTTGGATATCAAAGGTAAAAGGATCGGGTGATGGCCTAGTAGTGGTKGCGGTGGCCAGTGATTGTATGGGTTGATTGACCACCCGATTGATTGAATCAATTGATCGCTCCCCCCCCCCATCAACCCAGTGGTCGTAGTGATGGCCACACACAGACAGGTCGATCGGTTCGATTCGGTTGATTGATTGCATTGGGATAACTAAACCATCTATTGGTCAGCTATTTCAATGTCAATCGACCGATTGGATCTGTTTCTGCTGATCACATAATACGACAATTGATTTGATTGATTGATTAATTATCTGTCTCTCTATCTCTCTCTCTCTCTCTCTCTCATTGTGTGTTTTAGGCCTACTGGACGTTACCTGCAAGACAGTGGCCAATATGATCAAAGGCAAGACACCTGAGGAGATTCGCAAGACATTCAACATCAAGAATGACTTCAATCCGGCCGAAGAAGAACAGGTGCGCAAAGAGAACGAATGGTGCGAAGAGAAGTGACTGCGATTGTGAATCAGTTGTGATTATACTGTCGTGTCGTCACCGCTGCTATTGATGGTGTCCTCTATTTTTCTCTCTTTCTTTTATTATTATTATTATCACCCGTTCCTTACCATTGCTTTCTTATAATATACTAATTAAATATATATCTATATTATTATTATTATCTAATCTTATAGTTTTCTAATCAGATCACACAAACTACTTGTCTATTAGTTGACACCATTTTCAACAAATGATTGTTTTTTTTTCAATAATTTTTTTCTTGTCTTAAAATTTGTTTTTTGTTTTTTCTTAATTTTAAATTATTATTATTATCATTTGAATTGTTTTTCCGCCCCCCAATCAATTGGGTTACAAAATTGTATTTTTTTTAAAAAAAGATTAGTTTTTTTTGTATGTTTTGTTGTATATCTTAATTAAAAGTGTATTTCACACATATATTGTATATTATATGTGATTAATTGATTACTAATTGCTTTTTTTTATTAAAAAAAATGTATTTGTTTTGTTTAGTTATTATTAATAATAATTTTTTCATAAATTGTTTGTTTTTTAAACAATTTTTTTTTAATTTGATTTGATTTGATGAGTAGTTAGTTAATTAATTATAACTATCTGTATATTTCACTAATTAAAAAACCTATCGATACATACACAAAAAAAACAAAATAAAACATACACACAATTACAACAAACAAATTGTATAACTATTTTTTAAAAACAATATGTGATTTATCAATAATAATAACCCATTATTTTATATAATATAAAATACCGTATAATTGAATTTTACGATACATACACACACTTAACTAATATTAACTGTATATTAGTTTTATTATTATTAGTACCGTATATATATATATATATATAGTGTATATTGTATTAATGAATATTGCAATTATTATTATTATTATTTGTCACAAAATAATTAATTGRTAATTATTTATATATATATATAACAAATACAATCTTCAGGTTAATGCTTTTTATCAACAAAAAAAACTGTATCTCATTTATTATTAATATTAATATTATTAWTTATTATCGGATAATAATTTATATATTACGGTACAAAATAACCTCAAAAATAAAATAAAAGATTGATTTGTTTTTGAAAATAATAAATAGTATTTATTTGTTTTTTAATTTTATAGACAATTTTTCTATAATACTCTTTTTTTAAAATTAAATAATAATCAAAATTAGGGCAAAATTATTATTTTTTTTAATTTTATTATTTAATAAATTATTATTTAATATCATTTCCTGTATATTCCTGTACAGTACAGTATATACCAGTAATATTGAATGTCATATACCGGTACATGTATAGTAATATACTGTATATTAGGTATTAAATAATTAAATAATTAATATTATATATATATACATGTATATACTCTCTATATGTTATATCGTATATAACTGTAATATAATATGTAAATATATATATATATATATATATAGAAATGTTAGGAATTGTTAGTATTTTTTTCCTAATAATAGTAATAATTATAATATAATTATACTTTAAACCGGATTAATAAAATTATATATATATATATATATATACAAAATCAATATAACATTTACGTATTTTTATTACAATAAACTATTGTTTAATTTACCAATATAATTTATAAATAGATATTTCATAATCTATGATAAGTGATAATATAAAAAATTGTTTATTTAGTAATCAATAACAATATATATATATATATGATTCAACATTTATTATTAATTATAATTAATAATTAACAATATACTAAAAGTTTCTAAAAAAAATCCACTTGATCAAAATTAATAATTTTAGTAAAAATATATATATATTAAACAATTTTATTTTATTATTTATTTAACATTTAAAGGAAAAAAATTATCAATAATAGTAAAATTCAACTACACTTTGATATTTAGATTTTAATGGATTATTATTATTATTATTTTATATGTATATAATATATGATACTATATGTATAAGTAATACATTACTGTATAACTGTATATATATATATATATGTATGTAATTTTTTAGATCAAATAATGTCTCATTTTTTTATATTTGTTTAATTGAATTGAATTTTTTTATGAATGAATGAATGAATACTTAAAAAGATTTTTTTTATAAATATAATAGTTATTTATAAATATACTGTATTTATATTATATATATATATATATAAAGTCAATATAGTTAGTCAAATACAAATATTTCGAAAAATTCATGATTAAATAAAATTTTGAAAACAAAATAAAATAAATATATATATATATATATATTTTTGTTGTACCGGTAATATTCATCGGTGTATTTTTGCTAATTAAATTTTTTTTTTTAAAAAATCTAAATATAAAATTATTGACTGATTTTTTTCATAAAAAATTGCTATCTCTTTAAACAAATAAAACATTTTTTTGTGTTTGTTATTTGATTATATTTTTAGATTTGTTATTCAATAGAAACAATAATACTATTAATAATAACAAAATTATTATTTTTTTTATTTTGGTTATATTTATGGATAAAAAATTTATTGCAATTATTGACACAAAAATGTTTTTAATCAAAATATAAAAATTATTGACATTAAATTTTTTATTATTTGTAAAAATATAATACTAACTGTTATTTAATTTCAATATTTTAGATTCAAAGTCATAGTTAAAAATTTTATTATAAGTGATTGATTTGATTGAAATAATTGTTTGTTGTGTGTGTATGTATGTATGTATGTATGTATGTATTTGTGTGTGTGTGTGTGTGTGTGTGTGTGTATGTATGTATGTATGTATGTATGTATGTGTGTGTGTGTGTGTGTGTGTGTGTGTGTGTGTGTGTGTGTGTAAACTAGGTCTCTATCTGTTAATTAATAAGGACGTCAAAAATTATTTAAATAAAATGATGATTGGGATTTCCTATTTTAATTTAATTTATTTATTTAAAAAAAATAAATGTAAAACTTAAACTAAGACGACAATAACAAAATAAAACTATTTATTTTATTTTTTTTAAATTTAAAATAATGTCAATAATCTTAGATTTTATCTGTTATAAGTTAAATGCTTATTATATATTTGTTTATCAATAGAAAAAATTTACTATTAATAACAAATAAAGTAAATAATTATATATATATATAGTATATTGATATAATTAATAATCTCAATAATAGGGTGACATTAACAAAATAAAACATTAATTAAAAAAAATTTAAACTAATTTATAACTTTTATCTAACACACACACACACACACACACACACACACACACACACACACACACACACACACACACACACACACACACACACACATAACATAGTTGCGAAATAAAACCATGGATTAAAATTTATTTTATAAATACAAAAATAWAYATATATATATAAATAAATTCATATTATTTATAATAATAATAATAAATTTAAAAAAAAACTTTTACATAACTAATACATAACATACATAATAATAATACTGTGTAATAAATAAATGTGTATTAAAAATATATTATAATATTATATAAATGCATGGCATGTATATATATATATATATATATACTGAGAGGGGAATGGTATACATACTATAAATATATATATATATATATATATTATATTATAAAAGGGAAGATCCTGTTGGAGAAACAGGATGCGTTGGCTTTTATATATACATAATATTATATACATGTATTATATTTAGTTAAACTCAATATCACTACTATATATATATATATTACTACCAGTGCCAGCCAGCCAACCAACCAACCAACCAACAAAATACATGTTGGTGTCGTGAGAGACATTACCTTTTGCAACAATTTTTCCTCTCTCTCTCTCTCTCTCTCTCTCTCTCTCTCTCTCTCTCTCTCTCTCTCTCAATGTATTTTGCAACCGGATCTATCAGTTTGTTGCACAGGGCAACTCTCTCACACACACAYACATACATACATAGCATACATACTAGTGCTCTCTCTCTCTCTCTCTCTCTCTCTCTCTCTCTCTCTCACACACACACACACACACACAGAGAGAGAGAGAGAGAGAGAGAGAGAGAGAGAGAGAGAGAGAGAGAGCTTGGCTGTGATGATGGCCTTAAAATCTCGATTCCTTACCTGCGCTCTAAAAACTATATATATATATACTGTATATTCACATATAGTTGGAGGGGTATGAAAGGGGAGGTGACTGACTACCAGAATAACCTACCAGTGCTTACACACACACACACAAACACACACTCACTCACACTTACACTACTCRAGTGTTAGTGTTATTGCCATTATGTATGTGTATAGTAGTTGTTGTTATATATAATATATATATATATATATTTATTTGTATATACAGTGTGTGTATGTATATATATATTTATATGTAAGTGTCTAATATGTTTCAGTGTATATATATAAAAATATTTCATATATATATATATATAAATAATATGTTTATTATTATTAAACACCGTATTATTATTTAATTATTAAAAACATCAGCACACACTTAGTACTACTACTACTACTACTACTACTACTAAATATGATTATTGTGACCAGGATAATATATATATATATATAAATTTTAAGTGACCAACAACAACAATATATGATATATTTTTGTGTTAATTAATTAATAAATTTTTAATTAACTTAATGGCAACATATAATAATAATAATATAATTGTATGTGGGGTGAAATTTTYATTATTAATTTTATTTTATTTTTTAACAATTTTTTATCATATATTTTACATTACATTATTATTAATTTTTTTGACAACTATTTTATATAATATATAAATAGTAATAATAATAATAATTCCCGAATAGACCGGTGATACCGAACCGGAACCCCGCACCGGGTAAATCATTATTACCCGTTACCCGATAATATTGTATTGACCCATAATTTTTTTAAACCATATTTTTTGTGCAATCGGTTATTAATAATACCCGTCTATATATATATATATCTCTATTGCTGTCATTCAATGCAATTCACAATATTATTATTATTATTATTAACTAATAGTATTAGTTATCAGTTATTACACTATAATATAGTAATTATATTAATAATTTAAATTTATAAAAAAAATTATTTATGTCGTTGTCGAAAGCTATTTATACATTACAATTAAAAAAAACAAAAAAAATAATTATTATTTATTTTGTCCCTAATTTATTTAACTAGGTCAAACACACAAAAAATATAATAATAACTAATTGTATTTTTAGTTTTAATTATTAATTTTAATTATTATTATTATCTATGACAGCCATTGACATTATTATCATAATCATCATCGATGATGACCACCAATTTGTGATGAACTGGACACCGAAGTTCAAACCGAAACAGCAATTAATTAATTAATTAATCAATCAATTGATTAAATTTTTAATCCAATAATAAACTAATGGATTCAAGCGATTTGCTTCATCATCAACATCAACACCACCATCAACAACAACAACAGTACTATCGGCGGCCAAGCATTGAGACGGCGGCCACCGATGACTGCGACCTACTGTCCACTATTGGTCATCAGGTATGTTGTTGTGTCACAAAAATATATTCACAAACTATTAGCACAAGTAGTTGTGTTWTWTATAGACAATTGAATTATTTATTTTTATCCATCCGATGACCAGATGGATACACCAGATAYAACTACTGGCGGCGGCGGCGCCGATATTAGCCGATCGGAGAAGCGGCCGCTGAGACGACTGTTGGAATCGGAAGACTCGAGCTATGACTCTGACGGCGATAACAACGAATTGGAAGCGCTGTCGATGACAACACCGGCCATCACTACCACTGACCTGAGCGGTAGCGGCGGCAGTGGTGGTGGTGGTGGCCATCATCATCAGCAGCAACATCACCATCACGACGAAGTATCGCGAACCATATCCGACACATTGCACCAGGAATACGACGAATACGTTACGACCAGTCCATTGTTGGTCGACTCTAGCTATCTGGACGTAGCCGACATCAGYGACCCCACGTATATCCGATCGGTCGAGTTTGCCCTAAAACTTGGCTACACCGAGTCCCAGGTGCAGATTGCACTGATGAAACTGGGGCCGAATGCCGGCCAAAATGAACTACTGGCCGAACTAATCAAGTTGGGCGCCGGCGGCGGTAGTAATAATGGTAGTGCCGGTAACGGCAGCTGCAGCGGCAACAACAGCACCAGTAGTTCAACCATATCTGTGTTCAGTGGTCTGGGAAAGACATTAGTTCATCACAGCAACAGCAATAACAGTAGCAACGGTAGTACCTGCAGCAGCAGCATCAGCAGCAACAACAACAACATTACCGATGAGTTAGTTGGTCACGACGGATTATTGGCGGACAGTATCAATATGCGGCCAATTGTTATCGACGGCAGCAACGTAGCCATCAGTCACGGCAACAAAGAGTGTTTTTCATGTCTGGGCATACGTTTGTGTGTCGATTGGTTTCAGTCGCGTGGCCATCGGGAGATTACCGTTTTTGTACCAATGTGGCGCAAAGAGGTTGCCCGACCCGATGCACCCATCAAAGGTACGTCCCGTTTATTATTAATAACCATCAATAAAATCTAATAAATTAATTTATGAATACCTCCCAAACACACCTCCCAATAGACCAGGAAATCCTAACACAACTRGAATCGGAACGGCTGTTGGTTTTTACGCCGTCGCGCAATATCGGCGGCCGACGTATGATCTGCTACGACGACCGCTAYATCTTGAACTTGGCCGCYGAAACCGACGGTATTGTCGTCTCCAACGACAACTACAGGGATCTCATCAACGAAAAYCCGGARTACAAGAAAGTAGTCGAAGAACGTCTACTGATGTACTCCTTTGTAAACGACCGGTTTATGCCGCCCGATGACCCGCTCGGCCGACACGGACCGTCGTTGAATAACTTTCTCCGACGTCGACCGAAACCGCCGGATGTTTTGCCGCCTCCCTGTCCCTACGGGAAAAAGTGTACCTACGGTAACAAATGTAAATACTATCATCCGGAACGCGGCAATCAGCCGCACAAATCGGTAACCGAACGGCTGGCCGAACARGCAAAGATTGAATTGCAGGCCATGAAACAAAGGTCATCGGCTGTTGCGGCGGCGGTGGTGGTCGGGAACACTCGCCCGGCGATCATAAGCTAAAAGTTACSTATAGTTTGCCACTACAGTCGACTGGCGGTTGCGGTACTGGTGGTGGCAATGGCGGCGGCAGCGGTAAAAATAAGTTACCACTGGCCCGAACCAAGTCTGTGATCCCGAGCAAGTCGTTGCCATTGGAAGCGATGACAATGACCACCACCAGCGGCGGCGGYGGTGGTGGTAGTAGTGATAATTTATTGTCGGGTAATAGTAATAGTAATTTGAAACAATCGTTTCATATGACCAGCCATTTATCATTGGCTGCCGACAACAACAACTGTCAGCAACAACAACACAACAGTGATGGCAACAACAACAACAACAGCATCACAAAAGTAGCGAAAATTTGCACCGAAAACTTCAACGACAGTTAACATTGAACCCGAATAACGATCCCCGACTACTGTCACTACACCAACACCAACAACATAACCGACCCGAACAACAACARCAACATCCGGCCCAACACCACCACCAGCAGCAGCAACAGCAACAACAACCGAAACAACAGTACGAATCACATCGACAGCTGACCCGAATGGGCTCCGACGGCCCGACACTGGCCCGTCTACAGAAGCAACAGAAACAACAACAACAACGACAGCAGCACTTGCTATACGTACCGCAGACGACGACAACAACACAATACCTGAGCGCACTATCGCAGGATTCGTTGCATACGATAGTCACCCGAAATGCTTCGGCACCCGACTCGTCGACATCTATCTACACATCATCATCATCGATGACAACTAACTGGCCGCCGCCATTATCATCATCATTATCAYTATCAAGCTATTCATCATCCATGACTTCGAGGCTAAACTCGACATCGGATACCCGACTAAATATGACGCCACCGCCGGCACCGTTTCCCAATCAGATATGGTCGGCACAGTCTGGCTCCGGGCTAATTGTGCCGCCCATACCATCGCATCCCTGGAACACCAGCAACATCAACAACGACAACAATACCGGTTCACCGCAACAACACCAACACCATCAACATAGCTCACTGGGACCGGCAATGGTCCGGCCGTCAAGCGTACCGTTACACGAGTTCAAGTCGTCACCTATACATCAGCCAACACCTGTACGACCCCAACAACAACATCATCATCAGCAGCGACCAGTATCGCCGACGGCGCTGACCGATTCGCGACGTAAACTCTATTTTCATTTGTCATCGATATTCCCGGAAAATCAGGTCAGATCGGCAATGGAGTTATACCCGGACGAGACTAACCCGCAAAACATATGCGCCGCCATATTGACAATGTTTTGAAATTATAATTAATTGAATTGGGTTTTCAAAAACTACTACTACTATCGGCAATACTATACTACTACTACTACTAACTAACTGAATTGATTGATTAGTTTCCAGTAATGTTTTGTCACACTAGTAGTAATCACAATGTAAGTCACATTATTTATTGACTATTATGATTCAATATTATGTAATTGTGTTTTWAAAAAAACACAATTTAATTGTTTTATTAATTAACTAATTAATTAATATAATTGTTATAATTTTTCTGCTTAAGAAAAAAAACAATTGACAAGTAATTTTACAAAACAATTTTTTTGATATATAATATAATATATAATAAAATATAATGTAGATTATGATTCATACTGTATATGATAATTAACATACAGTTAACGGTACAGGTATTGACTCCCACACACACACACACACATACTTACCTACCATTCCCAGGTGTATACAGTATGTGTGTGTGTGTGTGTGTGTGTGTCGAGTCAATTGTCAAATATATTATATATATTGTAAACAATATATGATATGATATGTATATCTATTATCATAATATTGTTTTTAATAACTAATATATATATATATATATAAGTTGTTGTTTTTTTTGTCAACTGTTTTAATTAGTCTAATAATTGTTAGGACTTAGAGAATAATAGATGATATTTACTATTATTATTGATATTAATATATTTATAWGGAAACAAAAATAATACATTATTTGCATATTTCTATGAATATATATATATATAGAGTATAGTAAACGATTAAAATGCACTGCAAATAAACTAATTGATTAGATTTCAATTTTGTGGTAGTATTTTATATTATGGTTAAAATAAAACTAATTGTTTTTTTTATAATACAAAAAAAATTTAACAGTTTAAAAGTTGTTATAAACATTTTTTAAAAGTATATATATCTAACGATAAACATTTTTTATCCAAAAAAAATAATTAAATAAATGTTTAATATTTCAATATAWATATATAAAAAAATTGATTGATAAACGAATTGAAGATTAGGAAAAAAATTTTAAAAAATGCATTTTTTTAACTATTATTATTGACAATAATTTATTAATTATTATTACTATTTCTAACTATAAACAAAAATTTTGAATAATTAAATTGATTGCAATTTTTATATATATATAWATATATGAAAATACAATAATAAAAACTTTTTACTTTTAGATTTTTTTTAGAAAAAAAACTTTTTCTATATAAGAAAAATTGCAAACTTTTTTTTGGATAATTGTTTTTTTGATATATCATTGATAAAAAAAACTTAACTAATAATAATATTAATAATTATTAGTTTAGACAAACTTTTTTTTTGTTTAGTRAAAATAAATGAAAATAATAATAATTAATAATCAAAATGTTTTATTATTATTATAAAACAACAACACATTATACCAGTAATTTGTTACATGATATTGATTGACAATATTAATAATAATTAATTAATATTTATAATATTATTATTATTATACACTGTATTTAATACAGGTATTAATAGTATACTTTAATTAAACAAACAAATAATTTTTTTATTTAATATATTGTTTATTAATTATAGTAAAAAATAAATAATATCAACAATATTATTATTATTATTATTAATATACTGTATAAACCCTATGATGAGCTTTTATGTTATAATTTAACAACAAAATAATTTGATTGTTTTTTATTGTCAAATATTTATATATATATATATATATAGAAAGAGTCTATAATCTGTATATGTATTTATTAAATCATTTTTTCCCCATTAATATATTATTATATTTTTTATTTCTCACTCTATTGTAGTATTGTATAAGTGCTGAAAATTATTTGCCAAATTTATTTTTAAAAAAAAAATAATTATTATCATAGATTTGTTTTAGTTATTATTATTATTTATTATTATTATTATTATTATTAATTAAATTAATTAATTAATTTTTTTGTGCATAAAATTTTTTTTTTAAATGTATGAAAAACAACAATTTTGTGCATTTCATGTTGTATTGAATATTTCAATTAACCAATTGTGTAAAAGTTTTATCTTTTTTTATAATTATTATTATAATTATTATACAAAATATTGTAGTAATTAATAATTTATTTTCAAATTATTATTATTATTATTATCTCGTTTTGTTGGTTTTAAAACAAAAGTTCTAGTATTTAAATTAATTTTAATTTTTAATTATTTAATGTTATTATTAAATTTAATATAATTACCATTATTATTATTATTATTATATAAATTTATGTAAAATGTGTTTAAAAATTAAATCTGTATTATACTAATAATAATAGTTATTATTATTATTATCTCATTTGTTATAATCACACATACAAGTAATGTATGTATGTCTACACATATTATTTATAAAAAATAAAATAAAATAATAATAATTWWAAAAAATACATTTATTAAACATTGCAATGATTGTTAAAACTATATATATAGTTGACTTTTTTTAATTAATTAAATTATTATTAATAATAATTAATTAATTAATTCCATGTTATATTAATTGACTCTTTCGAGTAAACAAAAAAAATTAGTAGAAATTTTAAAAATTCATTATATAATTATTATTATTATTTATAATATTCATTATTATTATTATTATTATTATTATCATTATTTAAAAAATTTAAAAATAAAATAATATATTAAATCAATTGTGTATAAAGAAACCAATACTGTGTATTGAAAGTAAGTTTTTTTATTAAAAGCAAAAAACTTTGATTGAATTTGTAATTTTTGTTTTCACTTTTTTTTTGAAAATCAATGTTTAAATAATGACAATTATAATGAATAAATAAAAAAACTGTTAAATAAATATTTAAATTGTGTTGATTTATTAGATTAAAAATAATTATGTGTTTATTTATATATATRATATATATATATTGTATATAATAATAAATTATTTATTTAATAATTTCTATCTATACTATTATGGCTTAATTTATAGTTGACATTGGGTTTCGTAGGTTAAGTTTGTATCCGGTTTTTTAATAATAATAATAATAATAATAATAATATACTTATTTATATATCATAATATCTACATACTGTATGAGGTGCTAATGATACCGGTGCCCATAAAAATAATATATATATATATATTTTTTTTTGATTGACATAAAGCTTAGAAAATATTGTTATTATTTATTATTATTTATTAATAGTATTATAAAAGTATTTTTGATTTTTCTCGACATAATATTATTAAATTAACAAATATTTTTAAGTCAATAATTATTACACACACACACACACAACATGTATTGACGCGATTTTTCATTCATCCAATTATTATTATTATTATTATCTGCTATTTTTTGTTTGTTACTATAGTTATAAAAGTTTTATATAAAGCATTCAATATATATATATATATATATATAACTTATATTATAAATCCCTGATAACTAGTTTTTATGGCACCTACATATATATTAATACATTTTTCCAGTGGTTCAAAATAAAAACAGGCCGACCCTTAAGGGACAGGTAGCTTAAATAATAATAATGTGAATAGTAATTATTATTATAATATAATAATAATAGGAGACTGACTACCAGTTAATTGTTATTATTATTATTATTATTATTATTATTATTACAAGTATTATGTATTACTTGATGTTTTAGTTTAGCATTTAGTTTATAAACATTTGCTTATTGTTGTTGTTTAAGATATTATTCAAAAGTTAATACAATTTATAATACAGTATATAATATGTTATATAAAACATTTTTTTTTGTTTATTATATAATTGTAACGAAACAAAAAATTATAAAAATAAATTTTCACTAAAAACACAACAACAACAACAACAAACACCAGTATATAATAGATGATAATAATTATTAATAAAGATTACACTCCTCTCTCTCTCTCTCTCTCTCTCTCTCTCTCTCTCTCTCTCTCTCTCTCTCTCTCTCTATTTCAATCCCTATCCATCTAATTTAATATCAGGTCATATATATATATATATATACATACAGGAGCTTAACAATTTAAAAACTATACCCTAAACCTTTACCTAGACCCCCAGGGCACACATACCCAGGGATTTCATATATATATATATATATATATATATATAGTATATATTGGTGTTGTTGTTGGTGCCCAAACAAAACAAAAATACTTTCAAAAAATTTTGTATTATCATTATCATCATCATACAGTGTATATAATAATAATAATAATAATATCGGTATAATAGCTTTTTAAAAAATAAAAAAATAAATGCTATAAAATAATATCCAACAAACAACACTACCACCAAATAATAATGTATTAATAATAATAATAATGGCTTTAAAAAAAAAAAAAAAAAAAAAAATTCGTGATCAAGATTCTCGTTGAACAGCATTTTTTTGGTTGCTTTCAATAGTTTCAAGTCTAACCTAACCATCCCTTATATCATCCCTATCCCTATCACTTTTTTTGTGCACAGTAGGAATCACTCCCATAATTCCTATCCCATTCCTCTATATATAATATACAGTATATATACTGTAAATGTATAGTTACAGTACCAGCACTTTGGCGCTAGTATTGAATAATTTTGATTAATTTCAACAAAAATTTCTAACAGTGAGTGAGAGAGAGAGAGAGAGAGAGAGAGAGAGAGAGAGAGAGAGAGAGAGAGAGAGAGAGAGTATAGATAATATGAGTTTCCCTTTTTATTTTACATCCCAGTGCCCACCCAATGTGGCTCAAAGTTAACACTAACCAACAATAACAACAACAACAACAACAGCAAAAATCTAGGGTTTAACTCGTGTTTTAACTATTTAAAAAAAAACTAAATATTTTTTTTCGATGGGCCCAACCATCTCAGCTCAGCCCTAACACACACACACGTGAGTGTCTATAATCTTTTAAAAACATTATTTTTTTCAAATTATCATTTTCTATATACTGTATATATATATATATAGATATTTTAATATTAGTGATGAACTCGTGGATGAAAATTATATACACATTATATTCTCTCTCTCTCTCTCTCTCTWTCTCTCTCTCTCTCTCTCTCTCTCTCTCTCTCTCT